ACGATCATAAATACACCACTCGCCAAATCTAACCGCCTCTTATCGACTAAGCCGTTCGTAGGTTACATGACATATCCATTTGAGAAGTGACTGACACACCGACGCCGGTTCTCTGGTGTCATTTTGGTGGTGACTGCGAGATTCGACATCCAAGACAGCTGGACTGCGGGATAAGACTTAGGACCCTGATAGCATATGGCGTACCAATAAAATAAGAAAAGGCGATTTAGTAAAATAGCTAGTATTGAAAACGAAGGAAAGAAAATTAAATGTATAAGACTTACCCGACACCATTTAGACAAAAGAAGAATGAAATTCGGATGGAAAGGACCCATCCCCAGCAAGTTCCAACCCAAAGAAGCCTTCAAGAAGAAGCCTGGTGCTCCTATTGTAAGAGAAAAAAGCATATTGTCAGTAAATGCCCAGACGTAATAGCATTGGAACAGAAATGTGCAGCCTTATTTGAAGCACTTACCAACGAACAAGCCTAGAAGGTCCAAAGAATGGTTAATGAAATCTTTGGTGCCCAAACCGTTGATGAAAAACAGATTCCCAAAGCCCTGAAAATCTTTTTGAAGATATTAGAAGATGTCAGCATAGATTGTAAAAACAATTACGAAGAGGAAGAGATTGTATACTTACCATCATATTTTCAGCTAAATATGATCTCAAAAAAATCACATCAAGCATCGCCAACAAAGACCCAAGAAGAAGCCATCGTATATCTACCTCCATGTGTCAAGAAAAAGAATCTGCCTCGACAATCAAAACCCATGGTACCTGACAATCCTGACGAATCTGCAGAAGAACCCCTAGACTTGGAACACCTCCTTCGACGACTAGTTTCTGAATATGAAGCTCGCATATGAAAGTTGGCCCTGGAAGAAGTCCCAGAGTCTCTGCCAGAGAGTGGCATCAAAAAAGAGAAAGGACTTAGTGGGAAGGACCCTGCCAAGGCTGAGAGAGATGCGACGAATATTGGTGAATGTCATCGAAATAGAATTAGAATTGAGATGGATAAACTTGAAGCTTTCGAAAATAATCAAAAATCTGCAAAAATAGGGAATGTTAATGGAGTATATAAGGTTGGGAATCGCTATAAAAAAGGAATCGATATTAAAAAGGAAGAAAACAACAGAATCAAGGTCGAAAAGAGTGGAGTTGAAAAAGATGGACATAAAGCATTCAGATATTTTCAAGAAGCTGCTGATATGAAAAATGATAATGGAACTCTTGATGTCAGCTATCATCACAAAAATGGAATCAAGGTTGAAAAGGCAGAACAAGAACCGAATAAACAAGTAAAAGACAAAGATGAATTGGAAGACTTGATCGACAGTTACTTGGAAACCCTAATGACCTGGACATCTAAACCACCTGTTCATTACCAAAAATCTGCGAAAATGAGGAATGCCGATGGAACATGTTCTGTTGTTCACTATTATGAACATGGAATTGAAGTTGAAAAGGAAACCAATAAAGAGTCCTCTGGAAGTGAAGTCGAAAAGAATGAATATGAACCCTTTATTAGCCACCTGGAATCCTATAAGTTGGGCTCTCCTGTTGGCATGTATAATGTTGGACATTGTCATCGAAATGGAATGGGTGTCAAAATGGATGAACAGAAAGCCTTCGTCCATTATCAAAACCCTGCTGATATGGGTAACACTAATAATGCGTATAATGTTGGTTATTGTTACCAAAATGGAATTGGAAAAGATGAATGTAAAACATGTAGATATTATGAAGAATCTGCAAATTTAAATATTGAGAAGGAAAAAGACGAATGTACAGCATTCATTTATTATAATGAATCTGCTAAGATGGTGGACGTTAATAGAACATACAATGTTGGAAAATGCTGTTATAATGGGATTGGCATTGAAAAATATGAACATAAAGCCCTCGTTTATTATCGAAAGTCCGCAGATATGGATGATCCTGATAGAATGTACGCACTTGGTGGATATGGATTTTCTGCTGCCCGAATTCGACGCCGAATCCCGTTGGAAAGCCTGGATAAAGCCTGCGAAGATTGGAACAAAAGGGTTAACAAATTCAGAAGGATAATGCAAAATGACATACAAGAGATAGAGAATCCATACCTATTTGAACCTGAAGGATTGCCACTATCTGGATGTAGTCTTGGCTCTTACTACCGAATTGGAAACCTCATCGAAAAACTGAGATTGAGTGGTAAGACGGCAGAATGGTCCTTGAAACAGCCAAATCTAACACCCTCTTTCGAAAAGGTTACCTAACGTAGGTTGCAAGAGAATTCGGATTGCGGAGCAATCAAGTCACCAGTATCCACCTATGACAATATGAACAGGAGGAAACGTTGATGTTACACAATTGATTTTACACACGGTGTGAAACACATAAAAAAATCATTTTACAATACTTGAACAATCTTGA